GAGTATGATATATTAATGGGGGAGTTGTCTTTAAATACTTAAATAGTCACACCCCAAAATCCTGTAGATTTTGTCTTGAAAGCAAATACTTAAATAGTCAAACACCAAAATCCTGAAGATTATGCCTCGAAGGCAAGTACTTAAATAGACAAACCCCAAAATCCTGAAGATTATGCCTTGAAGGCTTATGGTTGTACTCCTTTTCCCTTAACTAAGTTTTTCCCACGAGATTTTCTTAAGTTCAGATTTTTAACGAGGCAATCAGTACTGATAGATACCCCAAATCAAGCAGCTGGTCAGGTGTATAAGGCAAGGCAGTTAAATTCAGGCGGGGATCGATACTTAGCAAATGGGGATGCCATCCATAGTTCCCGTCCACCATATGAGTCGCCTGGGGATTACAGCAACCATCCTCAACAGCCAGCCATCCACAAGAATGCACGTCTACTCCGACGAGGATCGACCGGCTCGAGTAGATTGACTAGGCTCAATAGCCGGCGTGTCCTCGATTGGGTTCATATATGAGACATGGTTGGGCGACCAGCCTTGGTAGTCGGCGTGTCCTTGACTGAATACCTCGCCAGGCTTCGGATGGGCGACCAAGTTCCGCGGGCGGTGTGTCCTCGGCCAGGTACCACTTAGGAACTCAATCGGGCGACCAGGCTCCGCGGTTGGGGTGTCCTCTCCCGAGTACTGCGGACCCCTTTACGCATTTCCTTGGCAATCAGGGCGTCCCTGGCTGGGTGCTCCCCCAGAGGCGGTTATAAGCAGATTTTACGGAGATCTCTTCATTTATTTAAGCAGTTTCCTTTATTGTCTTAGATAGTTATGGTAGTTAATAGGTCGGATTCCTTAATTGAATTGGCTCTGTGTTAGCCCTACTTCCCTTATAGAATTTGCTCTACGTCAGCCTTACTTTCCTTATAAGAATCGTGTACCCTAGTATAAATATCCCCCTGGATCATCATGTAAGGGGGGGGGGGGGGTGGATCTCCGGCACACGAGCGGCCAAAACTGGTATTACAGCAAGCTAAGGGATAAGAATCCCAAGACATATGCTAAGGATATCCAAAGGGCTAACCAATTGGCCGACACAGAGGAGGCGGTCAGGCAAAAGCGCAAACAGGAGGTGTCCTCCCACAAGCGCCTCCGGGCGGATAATCCTCGTGATGGTCGAACGGAGGACGCGGGGAATGTTCGTGTGAGAGCTCGTCGGGTTCAAGACCGGCTGGGAGTTCCTGCCTTTCAGCCGACGGCGCAGCCCGTCCTCGAAGTTCACACCTAGCTACCCCCACCTCCTCCCATCCGACCTGACAATAAACCACAAGTGGTGATAGCCGTCAAAATATGCTAGTTTTTAGGAACTTTTTGAAGGTGTTTTTGCATATTTTTAACCTTAAAGTCTTGCATTTGAGAGTAAATTATCCTAAAAACATGGTTTAGTACAAAGATACCTTCCCAATTGTATTTTGCATGATTATAGGTGTTTTTAGGCTAGAAAAGTGGCAAAAGAGGTTAAAATTATCAAAGCAAGAAGAGAGCGCATACAACGACCAAACACGCTACAACCATGCACGAGAGGAGGAGAAAAGGGGAATTATTTCCCAATTACGCTCGGCCTCACGGCGTGTTGATGGCGTAAAAAGGACAAGGCAAAGCAAGTGCAGAGGAGGATTATTTCCAATTTACGCGGATGCTCACGGCATGAAAGCAGCTTAATTCCAAACTTATGAAGCCGGATGCAGCTAGGCGCGGAAGGGCTTATTTCCCATTTATGCCGGCGTCACGGCGTGACGACATGCGTAAATGGGAGGCCGAATGAAATTTCTATATTTAAGGCAAAATTCTGATTCATTTGGGAGAGTTCCACAATTTTTAGACAGTTTTTAGAGAGATGTCAGAGAGTTTTTAGATCTAGATTAGGTTTACGTTTTGCCTCATGAACTTCATCATCTTTGGCCTTCATCTCTAACTCATATGCTTTAAGATCACTAAATAATTTGTCGGTTGACAATATTCTTAGATCTCGGTGATCTCGCATAGCCATAACCTTCATGTCCCATGTAGATAGTAAGCCTTGTAGGATTTTGAGATTAATTTCCTTTTGGCTAATATTTTTGCCAAGGTCATTAATTTCTCCAAGGATTTTGATCATTCGAGCTTCCATATTAACAATGGATTCGTTTGAGAGCATCTTGAAGTCCTCAAACTTCTTCACAGCAATAGTGAGCTTGTTATCTTTCTCTTGTTCATCTCTTTCTCCGATCTTGATGAGAGTATCCCAAATTTCTTTTGCACTTGTACATTTTCGAACTTTTGGGAATATTGTATCATCAATGGCTTTGAACAAAATATCTTTGGCAATGTTGTCAAGATTGTTCCTCTTTCTATCATCCGATGTCCATTCGGTTTTGACTTTTGTACGAATTGTTGAGCATCCGGTGATAGAAGAAATGCCGTATTTACTTTCAATATTTTGATCGGGCCATTAGAGATAACTTCACACATTTCATCATGTAAGGCCGATAAATGAACCTGCATACGAACTTTCCAATCATCAAATTTATTAAGTGAGAATAATAGATTTTGAGCTAAATCTTTATTCATCTTCTCGAAGAATGTGAGAGATAAATAATCAAATTACACACACTGGGTAAAATGGATCTGCCTAGCAGTCAGAAACAGGTTGACCCAAATAGGCAACATGCTATGATACCACTTGTTGGTATCAGTAAAAAACAAGCTGACTCAAATAGGCTACAGGCTCTGATACCAATTGTTGGTCCCAAAAGAGATAAGGTAAAAGTCTAGAGGGAGGGTGAATAGACTTTTAAACTTTTTAGCACAGTGCAACAATTGCTAAGGCAACAGAGAAACCAAGACTCTTAACTAGATTGTTAGAGTCTGGTGCACAACGGAAATAATAAATGGTACGGTGTGTGTATATTTGTGTCAAGATTATTCTCCTGAGAAGCAAGCAAGAGCAGTAAGTAAAGAAAGCAGTAAAGAACACAAGGCAATTTATAGTGGTTCGGAGGTGGTGTAATCCTCCTACTCCACTTACTCTTATCTCCAAGAGCAATTCACTATATCCACCACTACTTGGTTCCTAGATACAATGAATTCCAAGATCTAGTGCTTTGACCACCAAGCCCGCACTAATCACGGCCAGTGCCACCAACACTGCTGCTTCGGGTTTCACGTCGTCGCACTACTTTCCCAGGATTTAACGACTCCGCGTTACTTTCCCCCCGTTTTCTACGCTCCGGTAGAAACGCTCCTTCCGTGATTTAGTGCTTTGATCACAAAGCCCGCACTAATCACGCCCAGTGTCTCCGACACTGCTGCTTCGGATCTCACAACTCCGTGTGACAATCCAGGATTTCACAACTCCATGCTACTTTCCCACTTTCTCTTGTTTTGCTCCAAAACAAGTTTGCCTTGCTTCCAACTTTGACACTCTGTAGTTGATCTTCAATGACGCACTTAGTCTCTTGTAGTTGATGAAGATTCTAACACTCTCGGATATTTCTTTTGTAAGCTCTGTATCACTCTGAGTGTTTATCTCACTAAGAATATATCAATTTAAGCTCTTGAGATGGAAAGCTCTTTTGAATTTCGTATGTTCTGTTTAGCTTTGCTCTTTGCTCTTGTGTGTTCTTGCTTCTTGCTTCTTCTGTTTCAATCTTCATCCTTTTTATAGCTGGTAATGAGAATCTGTCCGTTGGAAAGAAACGTTCTCATTTTTTAATTTCTTCTATCTATGTAGCCTTTTCAGAGGATAAGATAACGTTGCAGATATGTCAGAGATTCTCTACAAGTTGAGCTTGAAGTTTTCGCAAAAATGGCGTCCCAAAAACTTCATTTGGTGTAGATCACGCCTCTTGGGATTTCTATCTTATTTTTGCTTCTGCAACTTCTTCTTGTATTTCCTCCTCTGTACTTCACGTATGGGTTTGTTCACTGCTTCCAGACTTCATCTTCTTAATTGACTTGGGAAATCTCTTCCCATGTGAACTTCATCCCTTACTATATTTGGAAGTGAAATCTCTTCCCTTCTTGATTTGTCAATTGAAATCTCATCCCTTACTTGATTTGGACTTGCAACTTCATTCCTTCTTGATTTGTCAATTGAAATCTCATCCCTTACTTGATTTGGACTTGCAACTTCATCCCTTGCTATTTATATCTCAAATTGAATTAAAGCCCTTTGCAAATCTCATACCAATTTCAATTACCCATCCCTTCAATTGGAATTGCATCCCAATTTCAATTTTGAGATAATCTCATCCCATAGTCAATTTGAAATCTCTTCCCCATTGACTTTGCAAACTGCTTCCCTTTGGCCAACTCGTCCGTATAACCTTTTAGTCATCGTCTCATTTCACTTGGTGTACTCCTTTCTTTCTATTGATGCTTGATCTTCAAGATAGCTCCATGCAAACTTCAAGTCACGTTCTTTCTTCTTCGGATTTGTTGAGGGATTTCTTGAGGAATTTCTTCTTTGATTTTTTTGAGAGATTTCTTCTTAGGATGAAAGTCTTCATAACTTGTGTACACTTCTTCATACGCATACATCTTCTTCTTCTGTTTGCCATTTTCACTAGACAAATTCTTGATTTTAGGCTTTATATCTTCTTCATCCATTTTCCTCAACTAATGATTTTATTTTTCCCTTTCTTGGTCTATGACTCGACTAGTCTAACCAAAATAAAGTTGGGGTTCTACGATTTACAATTTGGCATATCAAAATCTATTACAATTTATTCCTAATAGCACTTGATATTCTTGATGGTGCAGGGTTCTTGAACTGTAAACCAGTTTGCACGCCCATGGTCCTAGGTGCTCCTCTATCCCATGAAGATGGCACACCTCTCCCCGATCCAAGTAGCTATCGGAGGCTTATAGGGAGGCTATTATAGTTAACCGCAACCAGACCCGGCATCACATATTCTGTGCATCAACTTAACCAATTCGTCAGTTCACCTACTGACAAGCATATGGCGGCTGCTCACCGCGTTTTGAGATACATCAAAGGCTCCCCAGGTCGAGGACTATTCTATCCGGCAAACACCATACTTAAGCTAAAATCTTTTTTAGGTTTGGATTGGGGAACTTGTACTGAGACACGCAAATCAGTCATGGGATTCTGCATTTTCTTAGGTTCATCTTTAATATCGTGGCGTTCAAAGAAGCAAGCCACCGTCTCCAAATCCTCATCCGAGGCCAAATATCGAGCCTTAGCCATGACTGCATTTGAATTACAATGGCTGAATATGCTCCTCCAAGACTTGCATGTCACCACAACCGATCCCGCTGTTGTATTCTGTGATAGCAAGTCTGCCATAGCAATAGCTGAGAACCATGTCTTCCACGAGAGAACGAAGCATATCGAGATTGATTGTCATGTTGTGAGAGAAAGAGTTGCCAGAGGTTTGATCAAACTATTGTCTGTTTCCACTCTCAACTAGATAGTTGATGGCTTTACTAAGCCCTTAACCTCTTCCATGTTCAACACCTTTGTATCTAAGCTTGGTGTCCAAGACTTGCACACTCCAGCTTACCGGAGGGGGGGGGGGGGGGGTATTAGAGGATGAGGGGCAAAAGGGTATTTTGGCAAACACTCAAGATTCATTGTAACTGAATTGCCATCCATGTATATAAGATGGCAGTTTCCCTCTCTGTTGTAACTGATTTTTTCATTCTTCATTCATGAACGTAGCACAATAACCAAGAACTTTCCCTCCTTTGTCTTTTACGCTTCTCGCGTTACTCTAACCACTCTCCTAGAAAGAGTGTTATAGTCTTAGAGCATCACCAACAACAATTTGCAGAGGGAATGGTTTTTTATGGAAAAAATATGCGTGCACCAGCTTCCCCAGGCATGCATGTGCATTGCACGCATCCATTGGGCACTTTTGTACTATTTTTCTTTTTGTTGTTGTTGTTGTTGTCTCCACCCCCACTTCTCCCATTCTCTCTCCTTGTTGGACACAAAACCCTGACAAAAAAAATAAAATAAAATAAAATAAAACCCTCACTCTTGAAGTTACTCTTAGGGTGCGTTTGATTGGCAGATTTAGCACTCAGGTATGAGTATGAAAGTGATTGTTATTGTTTGGTTGAGTGGTTTTTAAAACACTACTATGGTTTTTTATAAGGGTTTCATCCCATTATTCATCCTTAGTCTAATCATCCCCATTCCACCCTACTACCAAACATGCACAATACTTTCACCAAAACCCATTACCATTACTAAGTATTTGGTACCAATTCCCATGTGCGAACCAAACATACCCTTAGTTAAATTATATGTAATAATTTGATGTGTTCCACTACAATTGCAAAGAAAATGCTACTTCGCTTGCACATACTAACATGACTTCAATAAAATTTATATTAATCAATTTATATTAATCAATTATTCATGAATTAATCAATTTTATTACTGTACAAAGTAATTTAATGAAGTTACCTAAATGTGTGTAAAATTATACACAAAATTGCATGTTTTAGTGTTATCTATTGGTCATAAAAACCTCACACACAAAAAAATTAAATGTGTTGGTCAATTGTTAATTACCATTAGCAAATCAGTGTTATGTGTCTTCGCTCAAGATCTAGGACAAAGATGAACCTTCCACTTCGTACGCCATGTGTGAAGCCGAAAGTTTCTTTAGCTCACAAACATTCCATTACGTCCACAGGATCTCTATGCTAGTCCAACCATTAATGAAGATGATAGAGATTGTCATTGGTGTCATATTTTTTGTCGTTGATCGAGATTATCAACATCAAGATATCTCCAATCAAAGAGAAAGAGGGGAGAGAAAAAGAAAAAAAGAAGAGAAAAGAATACAAATGAAGGAGAGAGAAAATTATTCTCATGAGAGAAGTTTCTCTCCAGAGAAAAAAAAAAAAAAAAAAGAGATTAGCACGTGACGCGCCACGCAACGCGTACGTGATGAGAGACAACGTGTCTCTACCCTTATGCTACATTTAATAAAAATAAAATTAATCTAAATTCAGTCTCGACGGCTAAATAGCGGTTGAGGCTGAAATGAACTTCATTTAATAAATATATGTCATTGAGTGTGTATGTTTTTTTTTAATCAGTATATATATATATATATATATATATATATATATATATATATATATATATATATTTAAGATCATATGAGAACACCTTCTTAGGTGAGAATGTGAGAACAAATCGTGTGCATCTATCTAATATTTTTTAATGGTCTAGATTAGATTAAGTGTGCGCGAACGCGTATTAAATGTGTGCAAACGCGATTAAGTGCATTTGCACACATTTAATGCGCATTCGCACACACTTATTCTAATCTATACCATTAAAAAAATATTATATGGTTGCACATGATGTGTTCTCATGTTCTCACCTAAGCACATGTTCTCACTGGAACCCTACCCTATATATATATATATATATATATATATATATATATATATATATATATATATATATATATATAATACTCTTTCATTTTTATTCAACATTTTTTTTACAATCCCACCCTTTCAATAGTTATTTTTTTTTTAATTTCACTTCCTCTCAATATTTTTTTATTATAAATTGCACTTCCTCTCAATCTCTCCCAATTCAAAATGTTGATCTAGTGACCATGAACATTTCAATGATGATAATTAGGATGTTGGAAACTATTTGGTTCAACAAGCATTTCAAATATTGATAAACCAAAGTTCTTCTTCATAATTACTCATTCTCGAAGGTATATCAATCGGCACCGTGAGATTAGTCATGATCGTTTAAGTTGCGATTACTTTAACAATGATCACATTTATCTGGATAATTTCTTCCGTATAGTACATGTTTCCGAATGTGAAACATTTGTTTCTGCGTATAGTTCAAGAACTAGAGGGTGGGTTTGAATTCTTTCAAGAATAGGTTAATGCTTCCAGAAGAAGAATTTTATCGCTACTTTAAAAGTTCCGCCTTTTGATTCGTCAATTAGCATATGGGGTAACCAGCAGATGTAATCGATGAGTATCTACGTATGGGTGAATCGACTCCCATTGCAGGCGTACTAAACTTTTGTCGTGTTGTGTTGTGTAATGGCCAATACTTGCGAAGACCCATTGCAACTGATATCCAATGATTAGTTCACATGCACGAATAGGGGCACGGATACCCGGCCTGGAACGTCGAGACGTCTTGATTGTATGCATTGCGAGTGGTGCAATTGCCCAATAGCTTGGAAGGGACGTGCAATTCACACATGTGATAAAGTGCCAACTATTATGCTTGATGAAGCAGTCACGTCAGACGATTTATGAATTTGGCACATATTTTTCGGGGTTACAGGATCTCGCAATGTTAAACGTCCTTAATGAGTCGCCATTGTTCAATGATGTCTTACAAGGACGTGCACCCATCTACCCGAGGTAAGCTTCAATGTAATTTTCATTTTATTTATGCTTTTAATTTTATTTAATTTATGATTTTGTATTTTTATTTATGTATTAAATTTGTAGTTTAATTTAAATTTCGTAGAAATATTTTTATTTAATTATGAGTTTAATTGCTTGAATTAAATTTATAAATTTTATTTTATAAAATTTAAATATAATTTATTTCATAATTTATTAAATGACATTTATAATTAAAATTAGAAATTATAATTATAAAGTTAAAATTATTAATTTTAGAAAAGTGAATAAAATAATACTTAGATAATTTGTTGGATTATGAAGGAGTAGGGTCCACAAAACGGGGATAAAAGGATGGAGGATTTGAGAGAAAATAAGAGTGGAGATTATAGGGTGATGCGGAATTGGACAGAGAAAATGGGGAGAACCATTGTGGATGCCCTCACGAAGAAAGAAGAATAATAATGAACAATTAATATAATAAATCTATGAGTTGGTTAGGCTTTATATTAATATACTAGTACTTTCTATGCGCAATGCGCAAAAACATATACCCAATATTTATATTTTTAAAATAACTAACAAATTTTTACTAATTAAAATCTAAGTGAAATGAAATTTATTTATTATATTAATCTAATATATATATATATATATATATATATATATATATATATATATATATATATATATATATATATGGATATATATGGATATACAATATAGAAAATATGGATAAGATTCGTGTGCACCATGTGCATAGTGAGCACGTGCTCATAGCATAATTTGCCTATAATGCTAAACTAGTACCTACATATATTGGTATATATACACAAATAATATGTACTACACACACCTAATTTACTACTCATAGAAATTTAATTAAAATATCATCTACAATTAAATTAATAGTTATGAAATGATTACACACAAATAATAGTTATATCATCTATATATGGCAAACTATTGTGTGGACCATAACAAAAAGTACATTTTTAATATACTAAATGTACATTATTCATGTAATGAATGTACATTATACAGAATAATATACTTTCAGTACTCAAATAATGCACATTTTCTGAATACAATGTACATTATTTTTGTACTGAATGTACATTATTTTACAATATAAAAAATATGATCAACACAACTTGTATGGATCATGGTCCACACAATAATGATTGCCAATCTATGAAGTCCAAAGACCCAAACTCTAGTATGTGAAGTCCCTATATATTGTTGGTGATCAATATCCCTATCAGCTATCCATTGACACAATTCACAATCCATACCATATATGGACCAAGGTTCACACATCACTATAGAGTCTGGTTCATATGTATGTATTTTGTGTTGTAACTTTTTGTGTCTTGAGTTATGCTGTATCTTAAACGTATGAATTCTGTACCTATAACAAATTAGCAATTGTGTCTTATGTTATGAATTTTAGTATCTTGTGTTGTGAAATTTTATGCCTATGAACACAAATTATGTGCATAAATGCATTCAAAAAAAAAAAAAAATTATGTGTATAAATCAAATTTGAAAAATAAATAAATATATAACATGTGTCTAGAACTATGATTTGACATTGAAAATTTGACAGAACTAATTGGGCTAATAGTATAGGACCACCTTTTAATTGAGTTATTTGAGCGTATACATCAATTAATTTAGGATATGCATGTTGTTTGTCTAATTAATTTAATTATTTGATAAAGATTTAGTCAAATAGTTAAATAGAATAAATTACGAAAATCGTTTCTCGACTATGTCATAATTCAGAAATTAGTCATCAACTAATAATTTTATCAAATTAAATCCTCAAGTATTCAATGTTCACTCATTTTGGTCATCTAATTCAACTTACGGAAGACTAATTTGTGAATTATAACATAATCGAGAGACGATTTTGGCAATTTTTTCTTTTAAATATTATAGTTGTAATAAGATCATCATAGACATAATAATGACATAGTTCATTTTTTATAATTCTTAGTATTATCTCATTACCACTATACATAGAGGCTTCATTTCATATCATAAATCACACATTGAAGATTAGATTTCTACTGGAAATTAAACCATTTGAATCAGATACCCTTCAACAAAGAGTAGACACTTCTTTGAGAATGAAACCATTTTTAACGATACTCATTCTAACCCAATTTTTGGATTTTTTTTTGTTATATATATACAAATTCCAAATTTCGTGTTTACACCTATAATTAATTAGTTGACAAGTATATCTATTCCCTTAGCTTAGCTGTCAAAAACTTTGTAGTAATCTAGTAATTTGTTAACCCAACTCATGCTTCATCAGGCTCGGTTTGATAAAATAGTTAATTTATAGTCAATTTTGATTTATTTAGCCACTATCAGGGACAGAGCCAAAGGGGGGCAGGGGGCGGCTGCCCCCCTCACCCACCCCCGCCCCCTATATAATCTTTGTATGTATATATGTATATATAGTACAGGTTTTAGTATTAGTATTAAAAAAAAAAAAACTATGAAAGGTTAATAAGAATGAGTTAGATTAGTTGGTAGAATACATATTTGGCAATTCTAAAAGTCAAGATTTCATAGCTAGTATGAACATATTATTTTTACAATGTTTTTCATAGCTTTTTAATATTATTTAATACACACACATATTATATATAATATTCTTTTATATTAATAATGAGATGTGTAATTTATAATGTGTTTTCTATTCAAATTATTTTATCAAATTAATTAATTAATTAATTTTTTTAAAATTATCTCTTTTGTTTTAATGTCACGCCTTTACTGAAAAAATTTTCTGACTCCGTCCCTACTTCTTTGCCCCCTCACATGAATTTCTGGCTCCGTCCCTGGCCACTATTAGCTTTTTGATTTGATTTAAAAATCAATATAAGTGTTTGGTTAAAGTTTTTTGTCTATTGGGAGGAACTTTAATTGAAGTCCTAGGTTTCTCCCTCCTACCTGATCCAAAAAATTAACTTTTTGTAACTCTAAAATGCAAAAATTCAAAAAGTTATTTAAATCAGCATTTTCAATTAGCTTTTTGAGAAAGAAATTATACCAAATAGCTATCAACTAACAGCTAATTTACCAAACACCTTCCTACAATCAGCTAATGTTATCAACTAGTTATAAGCTCTAGTTAATTCAATCAGCTATCAGCTAACAACCATTTACGAAATAGAGCCTACTCTTCTAATAACTAATGTACTTACCGACCTAAGATGAAGCTGTATATATATGTTGTATTCCACAACTATTTACATATACGTAAGTAAAACTTTCTTGGTATTGGGATTGAAGAAAGAAAAGAAAATTAATGAAAACTGTATCCTTTATAAATCAGTCTGGACATGTCAAAGATTTGTACGAAGAAAGATGAGAATACATGTGGTATTACTCATATACATATTCTTATGGCTCCACTTTTGATTCAATCTGGACTGTTGAATAGCATCTCTCCGGATAGTGTCACTCACCGCTCCTATATATAGAGGATAGTTCGTCGTCACTACTCACTACCATTTCTTACTTGTATACGCTAATTAAGCTACCTTTGTTAGTCAATCCTTTGTTTTCCCCTTTTCCCATCAAAACCATCCATCTTTCTCCTTCTAACTCTTCCATGGACGGCGGGCAATGGTGGTGGTGGTTACCAGCCGTTTTCCGTCAACTTCCAGAACTCCATCCTCCCACCTTTCCCACCGGTGATTGTTCACCAAAGAAAATTTGACAGAACTAATTGGGATAATAATATTGGACCACATTTTAATTGAGTTATTTGAGCTTGTACATCAATTAATTTAGGATATGCATGCTATTTGTCTAATTAATTTAATTATTTGATAAAGATTTAGTCAAATTATATGTTTTAATTTTAAATAGGACAAATTACCACAATCGTCTCTCTACTATGCCGTAATTCACAAATTAATCATCAATTAATAATTTTATCAAATTAAATCCTCTAGTATTCATTGTTTACTCATTTGGGTCATCTAATTCAACTTGCGGAAGACTAATTTGTGAAGTATGACATAGTCAAGAGACGATTTTGGCAATTTTTTAAAAAATATTATAGTTATGATAAGATCATTATAGACATAATAATGACATAGTTCATTTTTTATAATTCTTAGTATTATCTCATTACCACTATACATAGAGGCTTCATTTCATATCATAAATCACACATTGAAGATTAGACTTAACTTTCTACTGGAAATTAAACCATTTGACCCTTCAACAAAGAGTAGACACTTCTTGAGAATCAAACCATTTTTAACGATACTCATTGTAACCCAATTTTTTGATTTTTTTTTTTGATATATATATACAAATTCCAAATTTCCTGTTTACACCTGTAATTAATTAGTTGACGAGTATATCTATTCCCTTAGCTTAGCTGTTAAAAACTTGTAGTACTCTAGTAATTTGTTAACCCAACTAATGCTTTATCTGGCTCGGTTTGATAAAATAATTAGCTTATAGATTAATTTTAGCTTATTTGACCACTATTAACTTTTTGATTTGGTTAAAAAGTCAACATAAATGTTTGGTTGATTAGCTTTTTGTAACTCCAAAATATTAAAATTAAAAAATCTACTAAATCAACTTTTTCAATTAGCTTTTTGAGAAAGAAAATTATAGAATAAATACCCAAAATGGTCCCTCGACTATAGCTATATTCACAAATTGGTCCTCGACTTTCAATTTCAACCAATTAAGTACTTAACTTTGTAATTTTAACACAATTTGGTCCTCTGTCTATTTGACTGTTTGTTGATTGTGATTTTTGAGGATATATATGTAATTTAATGGTCCATCGTCGGTTTTTTAAGGTTCTGGTTGCATTTCCAGACCACACTGTTACATTTGAATCCACTGCCGAAAGCAATCTACCAAATCTGGTCGCCTTTCTTCATCCTCCCTTTGGATTCAATGTAATTGAGTTCATACCAGAGCAAAGAAGACGACGTGTTTCCGAACCAGTGCAACATCATCCTAGAGGCCTCCACGTGCTCCGATGAGAGCTGAAGGTTCTTCTGGATATCGTCGATCACAGTCAACAAACGGTCAAATAGATGGAGGACCAAATTGTGTCAAAATTACAAAGTTAAGGACCAAATCGTGTCAAAATTACAAAGTTAAGGACTTAATTGGTTGAAATTGAAAGTTGAGGACCAATTTGTGAATTTAGCTATAGTCGAGGGACTATTTTGGGTATTTACTCAAAATTATACCAAACAGTTATAAAAAGTTAATTTACCAAACATTTTTCTACAATAATATTATCAACTAGTTATACCCTCTAATTAACTCAATCAACTATCAGCTATCAGCTAATATTCATTTACTAAATAGGGCCTACTCTTCTAATAACTGTATATATATGTATTCCACAATTATTTACATATACATAAGTAAAACTTTCATGGTATTGGGATTGAAGAAAGAAAGAAAATGAATGAAAACTGTATCCTTTATAAATCAGTCGGGACATGTCAAAGATTAGTACGAAAAAAGATGAGAATACGTGTGGTATTACTCATATACATATTCTTATGGCCCCACTTTTGATTCAATCTGGACCGTTGGATAGCATCTCTCGGGACAGTGTCACTCACCGCTCCTATATATATAGAGGATAGTTCGTCGTCCCTACTCACCACCAATTCCTACTTGTATACGCTAATTAAGCTACCTTTGTTAGTCAATCCTTTGTTTTCCCCTTTTCCATTCAAAACCATCAATCTTTCTCCCTCTAGCTCTTCCATGGACAGCGGCAGCGATGGTGGTGGTTACCGGCCGTTTTCCGTCAACTTATTTACAATATACGAAATATGATACACACAACTTGTATGAATCATGGTCCACACAATAATGATTGCCAATGTACTGACTCTATTAGATTATGGTCCACACAACTTGTATTTAAATAGTTTTTTTTTTTTCGATTGGTACTGACTCAATTAGATTATAGAAACAAAAAGTCACTATTACATGACTCCCACATAAGAGAAGTCATTACATGCCATCTTATTTGGTTAAAAAATCAATATAAGTGTTTGGTTAATTAGCTTTTTGTAATTACTCCAAAATGGTAAAATTCAAAAAGCTGCTCAAATCAACTTTTTAAATTAGTTTTTTGAGAAAGGAAATTATATCAAACAACTATCAGCTAACAGCTAATTTACCAAACATCTTTCTACAATCAACTAATGTTCTCAACTAGTTATAAGCTCTAGTTAATTCAATCAGCTATCAGCTAACAACCATTTACGAAATAGAGCCTAATCTTCTAATAACTAATGTAGTTACCGACCTAAGATGAAGTTGTATATATATGTATTCCACAACTATTTACATATATGTAAGTAAAACTTTCTTGGTATTGGGATTGGAGAAATAAAAGAAAATGAATGAAAACTGTATCCTTTATAAATCAGTCAGGACATGTCAAAGATTAGTACCAAGAAAGATGAGAATACGTGTGGTATTACTCATATACATATTCTTATGGTCCCACTTTTGATTCAATCTAAACCGTTGGATAGCATCTTTTCCCACAGTGTCACTCACCGCTCCAATATATAGACGATAATTCATTGTCGCTACTCACTATCAATTCCTACTTGTATACGCTAATTAAACTACCTTTGTTAGTCAATCCTTTGTTTTTCCCTTTTTCCCATCAAAACCGTCCATCTTTCTCCCTCTAGCTCTTCCATGGACGGCAGTGGTGGTGGTGGTGGTTACCGGCCGTTTTCCGTCAACTTCCCGAACCCCATCCTCCCACCTTTCCCACCGGTGATTGTTCACCAAAGATACAATCATCAAGAGATTCTTCCCTTCCCTGAGAGCTTTGGTTCTTCTTCGTTTCATGGCGGCGCAAGCAGTACTAACAGCCTGCTGCCGGCGGCCGATGCCGCGACGGCGTCTTGGCTGAGTCATCTCCAGAACGTGAACTTTGGGGGGAGCCGTGGCAGCTTTCCCCACGGACTGGTGGCGCCGCCGCCGGCGAGCTGGGGTAACCAGAACCCGGAGATGATGAGCGCCGCTGGCAGTCCTGAAGAAACAAGGAGAGAGAAAGGACATGATGAGCGCCGCTCCTCTAATGGCGTCGCCTTCATCAAGGGCCAGTGGACTGAAGAAGAAGATAGGTAAGTGATAAACAACTGATCACGTCATCAGTCAATAATTTTTGTTTTGTTTTATTTTATTTTTTATACGATGATCGAGGTTTCACTCAACCATTCGACATGTGTGAAGGCTTCTGATTAGGTTGGTGAACGAGCACGGAGATAGGCGATGGAGTGTGATCGCCACCAAGATTGTCGGCCGTGCCGGAAAACAGTGCAGAGAGAGGTGGCATAACCACCTTCGTCCTGATATTAAGGTTTTGTCTGAAACCTAGTTTTTTGTCCTGTCGATAATTTATGCTTTATTTATCCAAAACACAAGCCTTAATCTGATGAATTTCATATAGATTTCATCAATCCCTCCTAACAATGGAGATTTCAGAAATCCATTCATTAAATTTTTTTTTTCATTAATTACTCTAAATTTCTTCACCATTCAATGTATTTTTTTTCCTTAAATAAAAATTATTTCTTTTTTTAGTGTTTAATTAAAGATATCTGCTTTTCGCCGGATTTTGATCGTCTTTTTGCAGAAGGAATCGTGGAATGAGGGAGACGAGAGGCTGTTGGTGGCAGTGCATGAGCAGCTGGGAAACCGGTGGTCGGAGATCGCGAAGCGGATTCCCGGCCGGTCGGAGAACTCGATCAAGAACCACTGGAACGCCACCAAGAGACGGCTGTTCTCCAAGAGGAGAATGAGGTCGTCGTCGTTGCAGGACGCCGGGAGCAGCCGCGCCGGCGGGAGGAGGAGTTCGGTGGTTCTTCAGAACTATATAAAGTATAAGTACTTCAGTGGCCTCAGCCTCGGCCAGCCCGGAAGTTCGCTCGTTCCAGAGCAACCTTCAATCCAACAACAGGTTAACGTCGACATTCCGCCGCCGCCGCCGCCGCCGCCGCCAGCAGCGGCGGGCGATGAGCAAGACAGCCGCGATTCTCCGTCGATCTTGACGGAGACGTACGATGATGAGATGAACTTCATGCAGAAACTGTTCGGTAACTCCTCGTCATCCTCGACGTCGCCGACGGCGGCTAACAATGGCTCCCGGAGCGATAACAGCGCCGAATTCGCCGCGTTTGGGCAGAGGACTAATGAAGTAGACAGCGTGCCGGAGGAAGAAAGCTGGAGCACCTATCTGGCGTCCGATCCAAACTAATACGAAATGGGCGGTGCTGATCAAATCAACTCCTCAACTCCACAAGCTCCCGCCGCTAACAACACAAACTCTGGCGCCGGGTATGGCAGCGCCGCCGCTTCTCACTGTGGAACCCCACCCTTGAACCGCTGGTCTTCCTCCGCCACCGCCGCCGCAATGGATATGGATTTGATGGACATGGACTTGGTGTCTGCAGCTTCTTCTTCTCACTGCCCCCATGGCTATGGAAGCTGCGCTGCTGCACCAAAACCCCGCGCCAAATGTTCTAATTACTATCTTAATTACTAATTAATGGTGTTTTATGTTGCAATTAGCAGACTTGTAAGCTATATTTAATTTGCTTAATGTGTGTGTATGTATAATATAATTATATGTGTGGATGTTATCTTAATTACCCGATCATCTATGACGATCTATCAATGTAATATAATATATTTCAATATATGTAATGAAACTAGCCTCTTATTATATAATAATTATGTTTGTATATCCAGTTATCTCCACCGAAAATCCATCAGACTTGAATCTTAATCAATTGTTTTAAAAATTAACAATGTATATAAAATTTATAATCACATACACATCAATTTTTTCGGCTACAATTCGCCAAATACTTAAAATATTTGTTTTAGTGACATGATGACTCATTTTTTTTATGGAAAATGCTATATGTACTCTCATTCTCTATTCCTAACTTTTACTCAAACATTTAAATTTTTTATGTAAACACATTTACAGAGGTCTACATGAAAAAATAGCATATCAATATCTGCTACATCAGATAGTAAATTTAAGTGATCCAATAAAATTTAGGAGTATATGTAGTAGAACCACTTTTTTTCCACTTAGAATCCTATTCAGACGATCGATGCTGTTGAAATTAAATTTAATCGCAAATTTCAATGCTAATGACATCATCATAGTCATCCATTTTGCAGTTGGTAGCAATAATGATTATTATGACGGTGAATGTATTGCCGGCCAGATGCCTAATCTATATAATATGTATATATTTATGGTAACTAGCTAGCCACCAACGGTTTGTGGTTGAAGAGAAGTACTGTACTTGCTCTTCAATGGAGTGTGTTGTTACTCAAAATCAACCAAGATATAGTATTTGCTAGATGATTGCACTCAATTAATCCCAAACATTAGATAGATTGTTAAATGTGTTTCAATAGATAATTACGTTTATAATTTGCTCTTCTTTTTTTTGGTGTAGTTCAATGTTTCCACCGCCGGAAACTTATTCCTTGCTGAATTATATGCACCTCTATTGACTGGACAGCTAGCCTGGAGATTTAAGGTTGCTTTATACCCAAAGTCAAGAATCGAACCCTTAACTACCTTTGGTTAAGGATAGATGAGTCTCTTCTACTCAACCATACTCGGCTCCTAGGTTACATATTCTCTTCTTGGTAGGAATCGAATCATATACCATGCCTGACGAGGGCATATTCTCTTTTTGGTACAAATCGAACCATGCACAATGCACTATATATGCTTGCACCCTGAAGTTGTCAGTAGAACAAAACTATTAATTTTTTTGGGTTAGTCGACTAATTTAGCTGTCTTGGTACCAATATAGAGTATTTGATAATTAGTTCATGATATAGGAAAACACTATATTCTCATGTATGTGCCCAATCAATTTATATGATAGGAAATATCGTGTTCTCACATGCCAAACCGTACTACGGTAATAAAATATCACGTTCTCATAAGTCAAAATTTTAATCATAACTCATAAAGTCATCGCGTTTCAATTCAAAAAAATAAATACCACGTTAACATATATATGCCAAACCGCTTTCAAAAAAATAAATACCAGGTTCTCATATATTTGCCAAACCGCTTAACGGTAAGAGAAAACTATGTTCTTGTCGTCAAAACTTTAATTATCAACCCAATAAAGTTTTTCTCAATAGAATAACATGGTTAAATTCGATGAAACACATAAATGAAGGAGTGAAAAGTTTGTAAAGAATCAAATGTGGGAAGCCATTTGGAGTGTGAAACATAGACAAGTGTTGTTGCCACTCCAACAAATTAAATTAAAATTAAATTAGTTGTGGTGAAAATTAAAGGAGGGAGGGATTAAATGAACATAATAAAGAAATGAAAACAGATGGCCTTCGATCCATACGATGTGGGGGAAGATTTTTTGCAAGCTTTCTGTTAGTCCATATCGTCAATTGCATCCTTTTCTTCTCTTTTCCACTCACTGTCTTTACGCTATTTACTTCCAGCCTTTGGTTCCCGGATTTCCGTTGTTTTCAAATGACAAAGAGACAACCTTTTAGGCTATTTTATTATTATCTTTTTTCTTTTCTTTTTTTCATTTGTATTCATTAATCATTCTATGTGCCTCATGTAAACTTATCTTTATATAATGTAGTAGTATAAAATTACCTCATGAAAGTCTGCCACTGCTATCCAAATGTGCATTGCTCATAGCTGATCGGTTCAAACTAAGAAGGTCAATGAACAGCTCTCACAAAGAGTGGAACTTAGAACGTACATTGTTATTACCGAGTTAATAAGTATGGCCAACTAAGCTATAATTGTTCCATGTAGGGTAGCTATTAATAGTTTCGTTTACTGTTTGCTTTGTTTTATTTCTAGAGCTTTAAATTTACATGCGCATACTCTCGCTAGATTAGCCTATGATCAGGATCACTCTATGTATTGGAATTTAATCCCTCTGGACTCTATCGTTCAGTTTCTGATTTAATATATTGGTATGCCATATTTCAAAAAAAAAGTTATAATTGTTCCAAAATTACTATATTCTCGACCCATTGAGTTATAGATGTCCAATTAATTTAAAAGGTTTAAGTAATTTGTCGACTTAAAACATTTTATTTTAAAGAATGAATTTTAATTAAAGAGTTGAATTTAACTAAGCGTTAATTGAAGTTCAATAAAGGATTTTTGTTTTTCCGATCCCTTTTCCGTTTGGATTTTAGCAATAAAGAAATTAAAGGAGGAAAAGGGTTTCTCTCCAATCATTCTCCCTTTTCACATACGCCATTTTATCATTTTATGTTCTCTATCACTCCACATCATTTATTACTTTATTCCCTTTTCTATAATTATAATTTTAAATTTAATTTTAAATCCAAATAAGTTTTTTTTTTTTAAATACATACATAATTTTCAAATAAAATTTTATGAATTATTTAATTGAAACAAATAAAATCACATTAAATTAAAAGACGAAAACATAAATAAAAATGAAAAATACATAAAATTGATTGTGAAGTTAAAATATTGATCTTCTTCATGATATAGTCACAAACCTTTATGTGGTCTTCTTCCTTTATTTGTGAAATATCTTTATACAATAATTATATTGAAGACATATTGAGTGTGTTTGGTTCATGAGTTTAGCTATTAGGAATGAGAATAAAAGTCATTGTTATTGTTTGGTTGTCAGGTTTCTAAACACTACTATGAGATTTGATGATTACCCACTTAATTACAAAACTCACTCATAATAAAATAAGGGCTCCATTCCATTATTCCCCCTCCTAATTGGTAATTTGATTTTTAATTAGTTTGGATTAATGCTTTTATATTTTTGTTTTATTTTTTATTTTTGTTCATATTTGTGCTTTAGATGTCTTTATATTAGAATAAATTGTCTTGATTTTTTGTTATTGTATTTTAAAAACCTTTATCCCCATTATAGGGTCATACATAAACAAACATCAATATTGGTAATCATTTAAATCCCACCATAGTACCAAACATGCAAAATGCTTTCACCAAAATCCATTATCATTACCAAGTATTTGATTCTCATTCCGATTTTGATTCCATGTGCGAACCAAACACACCCATTAAAAGGAAATAGAAATGTAGAGAAATTTTGAGGGAAAATAAAAGTATATAGAAATTTTGAGAGTTAAGTAAATAGGGAGATAGAAATTTAATTTTTTTTTAAAGGAATCTTAAACGGTCAATTGACCGTTAAACTCCTCCTCAACGGGGTCAATACGACCGTTGCTGACTTATCGTTCTCAACGATCAATATGATGTTGTTCAACGTCATATTGACCGTTGAGAATAAGTTTAGAAGAAAAAAAAAAAAAAAAAAAAACGCTGACGGTTCATCAAAGTGGCATGTGCAAGAATCTATTGTGCGTGCCTGCAAATGCCATTCGCCTAGGAGATTTAATCCCCCCCCCCCCCCCACCACCCAATCCTTCTGATCTCCACTCTTTTTTCCCACATTGGATTGAAAATGCCACAAGACAATTTCGAGAACACATGTTTAATAAATTTAAGAAAAGAAAATGATATTTTGACCCTTGAATTATAGTGATATAATCTTTGTTGTTCCTTTCAATTGTAGGCTTAATTTTTTTCCAGTGTGTATGACCATTCTCAACGATCAATATGGTGTTGGTCAACAGTCATATTGATCGTTGAGGATAAATAATATATATATACTTTAAAAAAGAACTGATGGTTCATCAAAGTGGCACATGCAGGAGCCCATTAATGTGTGCCTGTACACACCACGCGCCCAGGGTCATACATAACCAAATAGCAATATTGGTAATCATTCTAATTCCGCCCTAGTAACAAACATGCAAAATGTTTTCATCAAAACCCATTACCATTACCAAGTATTTGAGTCCCATTCTGATTCTGCTTCCCACGTGAGAACCAAACACACCCCTGGAAAGGAAATAGAAATGTAGAGAAATTTTAAGGGAAAATAAAAGTGTAGACAAATTTTGAGAGTTAAGTAAATAGGGAGATAGAATTTTTTTTTAAAAAAAAAGGAATCTTAAACAGCCAATTGACCGTTGAACTCCTCCTCAACGGTCAATACGACCGTTGCTTACTAATCGTTTTCAACGATCAATATGATGTTTCTCAACGTCATATTGACCGTTGATAATAAGTTAAAAAAATGCCGATGGTTCATTAAAGTGACATGTGCAAGAACCCATTGGTGCGTGCCTGCACATGCCACTCGCCTAGGAGATTTAATCTCCCTCCCCCAATCCTTTTGAATTCCACTCTTTTTTCCCATATTGGATTGGAAATGTCACAAGACAATTTTGAGAAAACATGTTTAATAAATTTAAGAAAAGAAAATGATATTTTGACCCTTGAATTATAGTGATATAATCTTTGTTGCTCCTTTCAATTGTAGGCTTAATTTTTTTTCCTCAACAGTGTATATGACCATTCTCAACGATCAATATGGTGTTGCTCAACAGTCATATTGATCGTTGAGGATAAATAATATATATACTTTAAAAAAGAACTGATGGTTCATCAAAGTGGCACATGCAGGAACCCATTAGTGTGTGCCTGTATACACCACTCGCCTAGGGTCATACATAACCAAACGAC